CCTCAATCCCTCATTACCTCATGTTCTTTGGCCTCATCAGTCACATTCATTTCCCTAAGATTATTTGTATGATGAAATTATTATTTTCTATTTTACAAATTAAGTATGGCCTGCCTTACAAAAGGGCTAAAGGTTTCTCAAATATTAAAATATTAAAGAAAAAGATATTGGGGAAAATTAAGAGAGAAGAGAGAAATTTAAAAGATGTAATTAATTCAATTATGTACTAAAGTTACTATTGAGAATATTATAGACTTTCCCAAATCAGTAAAGCAATTCACAGTAACATGTACAAGGATGTGCATATTCCTACTGGGACATTATCCTAGACAACAATTGCTTAAAAAAAAAAAAGTCAGGGGCGCCTGGGTGGCGCAGTCGGTTAAGCGTCCGACTTCAGCCAGGTCACGATCTCGCGGTCCGTGAGTTCGAGCCCCGCGTCAGGCTCTGGGCTGATGGCTCAGAGCCTGGAGCCTGTTTCCGATTCTGTGTCTCCCTCTCTCTCTCTGCCCCTCCCCCGTTCATGCTCTGTCTCTCTCTGTCCCAAAAATAAATAAACGTTGAAAAAAAAATTTAAAAAAAAAAAAAAAAAAAAAAAAAAAAAAAAAAAAAAAAGTCAGATTTTCACTTTGTCAACCTAGAAACAGCTCTACTATCTTTCTAGACTTAGCAGGTTCTGGAAAAATGGCTTATACTAACCAAAGAAATGGATGAGTATAATAAAAATGTCCATATAGCAGTTTTGCTATACACATTTCCAGTGAATGTCATATCATTTTCATTGTCCATTATCCAAGCTGTCTGGTGAACATGGAACAACAGCAAAAGTAAAGTAGGTAGACCCTAGACCCTGATAATACTATATTAATTCCCTGTAGCCAAAACCAAATGCATCCATCCAGACAGTGGGGTTCTCCATCCACTTGGGGGCTAACTACTTGGTCTCTCAGGAGGAGTGCAGAGAGTTCACATTCCCAGCTTCTCATTGTTGGAGCTCCCACTTCTCTTTTTAGTCACTCCCTCCTTTCATCATCTTATACTATTATAACAACTTTCAATAATAACCTCTTGAGTGTCCCTGACATCATTGTTTCTTTCAACCTTTCTTCCACCCTGATGCCTGCTATCCATTTTTTTTTTACTTCATCATGTTTCCCCAGGCTAATAGTCACATTTGAACAATGGGAAGGTCTTATTTTTTAAAAACCTGGCAATAAAATGTCCTTTCTGAATTGCAAGTGATGTGAAGAACAATAGAACTGCTTGTTATTTATCACAGAAGATATTATCTTGGCAGGATGAATATGAAACAGCAGGTGGAATTCCTATTGTAAATCATGTGGCATTTTCAGGAATTCTCCCTGTGATTCAGGTCTCTGGGTTTTGAGATGGGGAATATAGGTAGTATATTAAAAAAAAATGCCTTTAATATGTGGAAGTTGTCAGTCAAAACATAGAACTACGCATACACAGCCCTGGGCATAACAGCACTCTAATTATAGAAACTCTGGCTCATCACCAATGTTTTAACACTTGATTTATTTCCTGTTCAATTTGTTCAATAGAGCCAGAGTTAATTGGTTTTCCAAATGAGTGTTAAAAATATAAAGATCTAGCTTCATTAAGTGGAGGCTATACTTATTATGCACCAGTGACCTGTAAGTCTATGTAAAGGTTAGTAGGGTAAGCTTTCTGGGTGTGGTGTACAAAACCGCAGCTTTGACTTCATACTAATATGGCTAAAAACTAATAAGTATTGAAAGCCACAGTTGCTGGTAAAAATAGAGGTTTTATGAATTGAAATTTCCCCCAATCCAAATATATTTATCAAACAGACTATCTAAAAACATAGCATTTTCTTTTTCAAATCTAATGTTTTTTTCTTCCAGAAGAAACATTTAGAATTTCCCTACAACAAAATGAAAAGAAAAAGAAAAAGAAAGAAAGAGAAAACAAAAAAGCAAAAAGTCTACTTACCAGTAGAGAGTTAGCACATTGTGAGGTTTTTAATATACTGCTTAGCATTTCTATAATTGCCTTTCTTCTATAGCACAGCAATGCATTTAATGTGGTATTTTGACCATAAGTAACAAATAGAGGATTAAACAAAAGAAGGCAATGGGCCTATTAGAACAGTTTTAGACTTTTACATGTGCACAAGAAAATCATAAAGCAATGATCTTTTTTTCCAAAATAAGTGCCTTTAAAAAAATAATAACTTCAATATCATCAGCAGTAATGCTGTTTTCATTACTGTTAAATGTAATTTTCAGGAAATATCATCATCTCTTTGCAGAACAGTTAATTATTTAGGGGGCAGCATTTACATTCTTTGTAGAGATGCAAGAGATCTCAGGTTGGTTTGGGAAAAAAATTCAGAAAAGCCATATGGGAATAAATACTGATTTCATACCTCGGCACCTCTGTGTAGTGTTTCAGTGGCCACCGCCATGTTCTTTGTTTCTGGAGACCATGACCAAAATATCGTCAGGTAAACTATCTTAAGTAGGAACACCAAAATTGAAATCGACTAACTTCTAGCTGTGTTATCAATTGTAGAAAATATACGGTTTAAATTAGGACAACTCCCACAGATTTATGAAGAATATTTTATGCATAAAAATATTGATATAAAGAAAATTCATGTAGGAGGATTCTAAATGTCACCTTAAATGAATATGGTGAGTTAATTTTGTTTCGTTACATAACATCATGGCATTTCACATTTTAATACATTTATTCTTTAAGAGAAAACTAGGCTTTCTTTGGCAAATTTAATTGTAAAAATAGAGAACACTGTTCTATTAGTTTCCTAAGGCTGTGGTAACAAAATAGCACAAACTGGGTGGTTTTTAACAATAGAAATTTATTCTCTCATAATTCTGGAAGCTAGAAGTCTGAAATCAAGGGGGTGGCAACGTTGTGCTCACTCTGAGAAGATAGGTTGAATCCTTTCTGGCTTCTCCCTCGGTGCTGGTGATAGCTGGCAATTTCCACATCAGGTCACATTTATAGGTTACAGGGGCTGGAATTTCCACGTATATTTTGAGGAACACAATTCAGCCCATAACTGTTTGGGGGAAATATTTTCTAGATCAGAAGCACTGTGTGTAATTATTTAACTCAAATTCATTTATTTATTTTGACAAGTGATAAGTCTGATAAATGTATTATTCCACCACCTTGGATTTGGTGGGGGGTGGTGAGGGTGAGATGCAGTTCACTAAGGAAGTTTTGATATTTGTGAGAGCTCTGTTTAACTATTTAACTGTTTAACTGTAAGCTGTTTAACTGTTTTACTGTTTCTCTGTTTAACTGAAGAGCATAGTTGAAAAATCCTTCCTATAATAAAATCTGTTTTTTTATTGATTCTGCTTTAATATTAACAAATATTCTAGTAGAACTTATTTAACAATGCATTCAGCAGGGTTTTTTTTAATTTTTTTTAACATTTATTTATTTTTGAGAGACAGAGACAGTGAGTGAGTGGGTGAGGGGCAGAGAGAGAGGGAGACACAGAATCAGAAGCAGGATCCAGGCTCTGAGCTGTCAGAGCCGGATGCAGGCTGGAACCTGCAACGTGTGAGATCATGACCTGAGCCACCCAGGCGCCCCTCAGCAGGGTTTTTTAATGCACTAGTTATTATCAACATAGGCTTTATGGTGGGTTTTCAGGCATAAGTTGTACATAGCCTAGAGTTAACCTAGGCCAAAGAGGAAGAAGGCCTCCAAAGTGAAAGAATCCAGAACTCATTTGCTCCGTTGAGTAAATTAATTCCACATTTTTTCGCTAAAAGCAAGAGCAAAAAAAATTTCCCCTCAATAATTACTTCAGGGATAGAAATGTTCATGGAGATCAAGTCTGTACCAGGCTTCTAATAACACCGAGGCCATGGACCCTAGGGACCAGTTACTTTCTCTCAAGTCCATGGCCATTGACCCTAAGAATAATCCCAGCTAACTTCTTACAAATGCAAAGTCCAGGACACTGTAAATATATGAATAGATGAACAAGAACACATAGCTTTTGCTAAAACTTCAAGTTAAAGTATGCACTTAGCTACTTATGGGCAAGTAATGTCATTTGGAGGAATGGAACATTATTATCTTCATCATATTATTTATTCTCACTCCCCACCCCAGTCTCTAAAACACAAACAAATGCTTATAATTCCAATTTTAGGTAAGACTAAACTGTATTAACATCATGCACACAGTTTTTAATAATATTTATTTTAGCCCATGGACTAGATTGTAGTCGTTTATTTTAATTTCAATCAAGGCAGGTTGTTACATTATATTATTACAGAAGCCAACAGCAGCTCAAAGTCATGATTTTTGTTGAATAAGTAAACAGCTGTTTTGCCTTGAAGAATCCATCTGACATATTTTTACCACTCCAAAGAATCATAGAAACTCTCAATTGAATGGAACTTGAAGGTCATCTTGTGTACATTTTCAGCAAGATCTACATAAAGGAATAAATAAATTCAGTGGTTTCTTTCATTAATCTCACTGGAGTTCAACTAAACTAAACCCAGGACTGAACCATTTGTTCAGCATGGGGGTAGGAGTAGGATAGGCAGTCCAGCAGATTCTGGACAGCAGTGGGAGGTGGAAAAACACAAAGCAATAATGGAGGGATAGTGGCAAGCAAGTGCAACAGAACAACCTCTGTGAGCTGGGAAGGCACCAAGGAGGAAAGAAATATTTCTTTGTTATAATTAGTTATAATCTAGTTCATTCCAGAACATGAGTTAATTTCATTTAACTCTTATGGGATTTGACTGCATTGATATTGATAAAAAGCAATTCTTTCTAGTAGCTAGATGATGAGCAGGGAACTGAGCATTCAAATAGAAGCCATACCTTGTGGGGCATCTGGGTGGCTCACTCGGTTGAGCATCCAACTGTTGATCTTGGCTTGGGTTACGATCTCATGGTTGTGGGCTTGAGTTCCACATCAGGTTCTGCTCTGACAGCATGGAGCCCGCTTGGAGTACTCTCTCCCTCTCTCTCTCTCTGTTCCTACCCCGCTCATGCTCTCTAAATAGATAGATAGATAGATAGATAGATAGATAGATAGATAGATAGATAGATAGATAGATAAAGGAAGGAAGGAAGGAAGGAAGGAAGGAAGGAAGGAAGGAAGGAAGGAAGGAAGAAAGAAAAGCAAGAAAAGAAACCATACCTTGCAAGATAGTACTATGATTTGCAAAACAGATAAACTGTACCAAAATATGATATGCAAGATAAATTGTGTAATCTCAAACTCTTTTAGTGTTAGCTCATTCACACCTTTCAGATCCAAAAACTATAGCAAACAGTAACTCCTCACAGACTCATGTGGTCCCAACAATTTCTTAGTTTACAAACTCTGACAATCCCTGCCAGTTCAATTGTCTGCCTAGTTATGTGTCTTCTTGCAACAACAAACTAACAAAAAACAATTTTGTTTGCCTGTAGTTGGGTTCTTGGTGGTCAGTGAGCTATAATAATATAATAGCAAGAATAATTATAAGCACAATATTATCATGTCTTCCATCTGAGTAGTATCTGCCTCATTAACTTCACTAACTTTTCATCTTGGATCATGATGAAATGATGATCAAAATACCACAATGCTTTTTTTTTAATTCTAAGCCCTGCATTTGGGTTTAGATTTTATTTTCCTTCAACTTTTCTTTCTTTCTCATTTCCTTATCCATTACATTTTGATTTTAAACAGAATTCACCCCAGTACATTTACATGCACACAAGATATTCGATGGTAGACTAAAAATCTTTTACTAGGGACATAAATCCCATTGGTTCCAAGCTACGTTGGATTCTGAGTGGTTATCAAAATCAAACAGTAGACATCTGGCAACTTAAAATATGATTGTAACATACATGTGAAAAAGATGTAAAAATATATGCATATGAATCAGAATACTTGATATTGCAAAGATAATGCCTCTCAAACTTATCTGCAGATTCAATGTAATTTCTGCAAAAAAAGAATATTCAATATTTGTATAAACATATGAAAGTATGCTATTGTCAAGGGTGACTATATTAGAAAAACCAGGTTCATATCTCAACATTAAAACTATGGTTTTGTAATGTATACTTTTTGAATTTTTGTTTCTCTTTGTAAGGACATTTTACATTACATGTGTATTTATTGTTTTCCAAAGTAGTGATTTATCTTATATTTTATCTTTTCATTGATTAGGTTGACTTATATAAAATCGATTATCGATCTTTGTGATGTTAACAGTTTCTTTTTTTTTTTTTTTTTTAATTTTTTTTTCAACGTTTTTTATTTTTTTGGGGGGGACAGAGAGAGACAGAGCATGAACGGGGGAGGGGCAGAGAGAGAGGGAGACACAGAATCGGAAACAGGCTCCAGGCTCTGAGCCATCAGCCCAGAGCCCGACGCGGGGCTCGAACTCACGGACCGCGAGATCGTGACCTGGCTGAAGTCGGACGCTTAACCGACTGCGCCACCCAGGCGCCCCTAACAGTTTCTTTAGTAAAAAATATTCAAGTACATTAGCCATTAAGTTATAAGGTAGCTGATTGGCATTTTTTTGCATTTCTGTAATATATTTATACTAATTATGCCACATACTGTTGACTTTGGATGAGTTACTTGGTATTTATGGCCTTTGGTTTTCTCCTGAGTTATTAGAAAGATTAAATCAGGTGACTTCTGTAAAACTCCTCATTAAGGGTCTGGCATTTATTAAGCACTGTCCTCGGAGCATTTCTCATACATTTTTGAGGACCTACCATGTACCAAGCACTGTACATAGTACTGGTAAGTCAAAGAAGGATAGGATACTATTAATGAACAACTCATGCCCTAAAAATGTGGAGGACACAAAATCCCATGGGTTGTTTTAGAGAGTGCTAAAAGGCTGGTGCGTCTTGATGGTTGGAAAGATGTAAGAGATCAGATGCTTTCTTTGCAGAATTTTTAAGTTGAATTTGAATTACAGTCTAAATTTCTATATTTCAATTACTATAACTGTAACTAAGAAATATAAGACACTTTAGGATTTGAAATGAGGTAACAGATTATAGGAATGTGAAAAAATATTCAGACTGACATTTCATACATTTTAAGCTATTTTTTAAAATTACATTCCTTTTTTTTCTCTCTTAGTGGAATGTATTTGGACTGAATCAACATACCAATTCCTCTCCTCTACAAAGAAAAAAGGAAGCCAAAAGTAGAAAATTAAATGAAATTTAATTAAATTCGGCATAAAAATGTGTTTAAAGCAAGGCAAGAGAAATTCATCATTGTGATTATAAAGGAAGGCAGTTTCTAGCATTAACATGATATCCAGCAGTACAAAGTAGAATGAAAAACTAACTCATACAGAATCATGAAAGATGCAAAGATTTTTTTTTCCATACTCTAAGACAGGCAGATATGAACTTTATTGACTTTTCAGAACAATGCTTAAAGGAGTTAACTTTTTTTTCATTATATAAAAGACTTAAAGACTATGATATAGGAGCTAAAAGGCTATTAATGCAATGGTGTTGGAACTGGAGTAAGAAAATGTAACCTAAACTGTACATGAAGAAACTTCAGATTTGATCATGGGCTGAATATAAATCTCAAAGAAGTGAAAGTTGGGAGTTTTGTGACAGTTAGGTATCTGAAAATGATAGCAATATGAAAGAAAGGCAATGAGAAAAATGTCCAGTGGATTTAAGCCTGGGAAAAAATAAACCATCCAAGTAAAGAAGAACCAGATGAAGCAAATGGTATTGAAACTGAGGTATCAGGGAGCATGTTCATTCTAGATGTCCTTTCCTCCGTACCCCTAAGTAACTTTCACTGTGTTCTTCAGGGCATACTGCATTGTTTTACTCTATTCTGACTTAAAATAGGTAGCTTATTGTATTTAATTCTCGGGCGCTTTCTAAATGTTTTAGGTTTTTGTAGCTGAGTCAATATTTTTGTCATAACTTTATGTTCTTTTAAAGTTTGTAATAAATGGTATTTAATAATCCAAAATCTCTTATGTATATGAACATTAGTATTCTTTTTAACATGAATTTTCTTGAGATCTTGTGACACAAGCCATAGATTTTTCTTCTATGATATATTACAAAATTTTCTTTACACTACAAATATTTCTTTACAATGATAAAACTAAAAATATTCAATAACCAATGTACCAGGATTTCCCCCATGATTTATACAGCTAAAATTCTAGTTACAGAATAAAAATTGCTGCAATATTTATTCATAGCCTTGAAGTGATTGAAAAGAAGAGGGTATCAGAGTAGGGTCTTAATGAGAATGTGTCAAAGAAGCTCCATCACATTTGTCAGACAATTTTTTGAGGCTGACATTTTCTGGGCACAATAGTTTAACTTGACATTGGTTTGCAAAGCTTAATAAAAATTTTTGCAAACCACATTAATTCAGATATCAATAAAACATTGGCTTTAAGTTTCTTTATTGATTTGACAGGAGCTGAGAAGAAAGCAGGAATTTGAAGGTCAATGTTTTAAGATATTTTGCATGTACCTATTCTATTAACTGGCTCAGCGTTAGGATTGCTAAGCATTTCAGGCTTATGTGTAGTAATACCCTTTTAAATGAAAAGTTGCCCAAGTTTTTAGCTAACCAAATGTCAAAGCATATACTTGGGCAGTAAACTAATTGGTAGCAAACCTCATTAAGAATTCTGGATGCAGTAATAGCTTTTCTTCAATTGCCACTGCCTTTAATGAGAAGCAGAACAACAGAAGCCACATTACTGGTCTGACAATTTGTTCTATTGATTTATTATGCCTGCTCTGCCACCATCTACATGAAGGGACTACAAAACATTAGTCTCATATTAGTGCATTTTGACTTCTACAAATACAGTAAAAGGAGTCTAGTACTTAAAAGTGACACCATTGCTTGGAGCTTTTTTCCAGTGTAGCCCACTGGCTACTACTAAGATAAGAAACTTGTGCTCAGGAAATCATTACAGATTATTTTTATCTCAATCCTGGAAATGAAGAAATGGATGTTGCATTTAACAAATTGTGTTAAACACATTTTACGCCAAATTTAATTAAATTTCACTTCATTTTTCTACTCTTTTCTTCATTCCTTTTAGAGAAGAGGAATTTGTACATTGCTTTGGTCTATGTAGATATCACCAGAAGAAATAGAAAAAAGAAAATTAGAATTTAATTTAGAAAGACAGCTAAGAGTGTATGAAATGGCAATCTGAATATTTTTTCATATTCTCCTAATGTCTTACCTCATTTCCAATCCTAAAATGTCCTATTTTTCTGTTTGTGGCAATTACAGTAGAAATACAGAATTTTAGGCTGTAATTCATATTCAACCTAAGAAATTCTGTGAAGAACACATTTCTCATTCATCTCTTTTCAGTGTTTTATCTTTAATGAGTGCACACTCCAAAGCTATGACTCTGTCCGTGACTCCCCTGGTGCCATTTTACAGAACTATATTTAGGAGAAAATAGATCATGTCACTGGGAGAAATCACATTTGCCCTTTGGTCAATACTTCTTCAGAAATCTAATGCTGAATCCCAATTTCGCTGTAATTACACAGACTCCTAGTAAAAAAAAAAAAAACAAAAAAAAAACTTGCTTAATGGAACTAGAACTAGAATTCTGGTTTATAACCTTGCATCACATAGACTCTCAGTTTTATATTTTGTTTTAGGCCACATCTGAATACTCCAAGTTCCTATTAATGGATTAATATTAATTTCTGTATCTCTCTAGCAGACATACATAGAAAGTAGGTGCTTAATGTGATTGTTCCCTGGAAATAATTCTACCTTTAAATATTTAAGAAGAATCAATTTTATAGATTTAAACTACTAATGGGAGTTGAGCTAATGCTCTCACATTTTACTTGACGTGTGTATTTAAAATGAAGTAAATAAGCTTGCCAGTGGGAATATTCCTTCTCAAATACGATGCCCACCGAGTGATGAGATGAGGCCTACTGAGTGAGCATTCAAGCAGTTGCTTTATTTGAATGCCTGAATGG